ACGTCTAATTATCTCTGTACTTCTACTCCTAGATCAATCAATGAACACGAATAGTTTTGTTGTCAGCCTATTAGTTTGCTGTTCGTACCAGTTTGGCCAGATGTTAAAAAGATGATGAATTAAAGCAGGAAGTTTGGGTGCTGGTTGCTTGGCATCATTGAATACTATCAGTGTGCATATTTTGATAGCTGACTACAGCAAAATTATAGACATTGTAGAAATCTTAGATTACCATGTTGTAGATCTGTACCAATCTCCACACAAATTTTTGTATATCAAATGGAAGTGTATGTGTGATGAAAAGTTTGCCATAACACTAGACGTCTTTAGTACTGAAACTGGATAGACATTTTGGTTATATCTTGCTGGGAACGACACACAAACTAAAGTAGTGCGACCTAATAGTGTAACCTCTAACAATGGGTGATGTCTTAGGCGTGCCCTAGATCTCAGTTTTAGTGGGGTGGAATTTGTCAGTGGCTGTGACTTAGATGGCTTCAACTGCAGAAGCGTTATATGTCATTAAACTCTTCATTGGGCCAATGTTCACCTAACAAAATGGTTAAAACTTGCAGTACGATGATAGTGGCGAGCGCAGTCATTGGTCATTGAAAATTTTATCTACAAGTCTGATGATTTTGCTTTCTATACATGAATAGTGGTACATCCCAGATGGTGAAAAGCAGGAATTTACCAGGTTTACCAACTTGTTGTTCTAAGGCTGTATTGAAGGCAGGAAATCTGACTTATCACCAATTTTCGATCTGCAACCTCTCGCAGAACACATGCATTGATCTGGGAGGCCTCTTGCGTTTTTAATACTACATGGTAGTCCTCTCTCTGATAATGAACGGCTACAGGGAGAACTTTTCACTTTGCTGCACCAAGCTCTGTGGGCTTTTCATATCCTTCGCAATGTAACACTGCTGTGCTGCGCTTAGACTAATTGAAGCAAGACTGGTGAGGAGACGCACAAATGGTTCCCACTTACACGTGCATTGCGCTGTGGGCATCGTGAGGTTGTAACAAACGTGGGGGTGCCATCGCTGTTGCAATTGGTGTGTGTCTAGTCACATAGATGTTTTATGCGAATGCACATGAATGTTAGTCACATTTGTCTGGGGGCCACAGCAGCCATCTTTATAAATGATCTCTTTCTGACATGGAAGCCACAACAACGTTTATCGAAAGTACCAGCACGTCTTGTTTATTTGGGACCACTCCAGATGCTTTATGCTTTGTTTTTCTGGAAAGGCAGTGATAGGGATAACTAAAATAGTAGCTAACCAGTCATGTGACCAAGACCGGGCAACTGGCTCATTATTCTACTCGCTCAAACACGAATCGAGTTGTGAGTCTTGAGTGGGTCTGGGTGGGTTACATTTCGGAGAGTCTGAATCTAGTGAGTCTGGTTGAAAAAAATTAGAATGAGCCTTAATCCGAGTGAGACTGGTTGAGCAAATTTTCGATGAGTGCAAGTGAGCCCTAAATGCAATAAATATTTCTTGAGTGATTTTGAATGAGCTCCACATTTTTTGCCAACCTATTCTATCTACTTTAGCATTGCTACCAGCCTAATGTTAGCACACATTTATACTCACACCTATTTGCACGTACTTCAACGCACTATGGTTTATACTCCGGCTCAATAATTATTGATCAGGAGCATAGGTAGCGAAAGGGTAGAATGCCTTGGCTTCCTTCTGTAAATGTTATCATAGGAAGCTTTTAATTAAAAAAAATAGCTTGTGCGAGTTGTGTCTTTCAATAAAAAGTACTTGCTTGATTGCAACTGCAGATAACTTGTTCAAAAATACGAGATCACTGACGAAAATACGAGACCACTGACTATGTGAGATATGTGTGTTAAACAGCACTGACACCATGCTTGAAAATGCTAATTATGCGCTAACACACTCATGATTTGACTCACTTAGACATGGTTGAAGCCGCAAGTCAAGTCTGCAGGAGTCCAGCTCGGTAACGTTGATCAGTTCAAGTCCGAGTGAGCCCTCAGCTATAGAAATGTTACTTGAGTGAGCCTTGGTGACCTTCACATTCTTTGCCAACTCATGAACTTGACACTTTGGGGCAAGTGTGTTACCCTGTAGAGTTCGGAAAATATAACCAAGTACACTGCTGGGTTGTCGGAGAAAGTAATGCATCATCGATAATGCCGTCACTTTTGACGCGTTACCCGCAACACCACTGTTTACTGAGGGGAGTGACGCGTTTCTGACCTGTATGTACAGCACAATGTGAGTGCCCACTATCATAGCGTAGTGTTGCGCTCACTGGAACTACGAAGGTGCTCAGCTCATGTCTAACTTCAGGTAACTTTACGTATGCAATGTGTCATTGCGTTATATGAAGTAGTTGTTTTATAGGAAGTGTTGTGTATAAAGACCTCTGGAAAGCATGCAAATCAGGCTTCCATGACTGTACCGTTTGTGTAAATTCTTGCGTGGTTGCTTGATGAGATTGAACTTGGGGGATAGAGCCACATGAAAGTGTAGTGCCATCATCACCATCATCATTCCTCGCCTTCCTCGCCGCTACATTGGTGACCCGGAGAACACGCCCTTCGCCGAGCGGCCCGCGGCCATGTTCCCGCAACTCTGCCCGCCAGTGCCACCGTTCCAATCAACCTACCCCAAAGTATGGTTCATGCAGCTCGATGCCGTTCTGGCGCTGAATGGCGTCACGGACCAGCTGCAGATGCACGCCATTCTTCTTGACGCCCTCCCGGTAGAGTTGCGCCATCTCGCTGCCACTTCAAGCACCAGCCCGCAGCCTTACGATGCCCTCTGCACTGCGGTGCTCGCCCGCAGCGGCAACACATACCGTCCGCTTCCGTTTACCCGCACCAGGCAGGTTTCCCCGGCGTCGCAGAGCAAGGTACGCACGCAAGCGCACGCAGAGCAAGCGACGGCACGTGACACCGTGGCCCTCGCCGTTTCCGCGACCACCAGCTCAGACGTCTCGGCCTCCTCCTCGCCGCAGCTGCTGGTCAGCTTCTCGACGGTGCCCCCTGCCGCTCCGCCACCTGCCACTCCGCCACCTGCCACTGGTGCCAGCAATGGCCTGCCGGGTGCCTCGCCACATTCCACTCGCACCTCCCCGGCCAGCAGCCGACCACCCTCGGCGTCCCCGCTCCCCGCCCCTGTCCCTGTCTCTGTTTCGTGGTCTATGACGGGCCCCAGCGCCGTGTCTTCGCGGAGCCAGAGCCTGCCCTCATCGTCGGCGTCGACACCGGCAACCACCAAAGCAACTGCCACCGTCGCCCCTCTGCCCGTGGCGCCGCAGCAGGCACCTGCGTCGAGACCCGGCGTCGCACAGGTGGTTTCGGCCAGCCCCAGTCCTCGCACCTCTGGTGCCCCCCGGCTCATCCAGCCGAAACAGCCACAGATCCTGCCCAAGCTGTCGAGCGGCAGCGCGAACATGACGACGCCTTCGGCAGCGGCGACCACCCGGTCCCAGTCTCCTCGGGCGGCCCAGCACAAGGCCACACCGCGGCCCGCGCCTGTACCGGCGCCACAGCCTGCGACCACGGTGCAGCGCGGAGCCGCGATGGGGCTCAACACGGGGAGTCCGCTGCTCATCAGGAACCCCGCGGCAGCGCAGCCAGGCATGTTTCCGGCTGGACCTGCGCACGGCACTTTTCTGCTGAACCAGTACATTCCGGGCCTGGGCCACAGCCCGATTCTGATACAAGGCACACTGGGGCAGACCCAGAGCTCTCTGGGACAGATACAGGGGGTCCAGCTGGCCCTGCGGCCACCCCATGCCACGGGCCTGACCCTGGGACCTCAGACGGGGCCCAGGCCCCATGGGGAACATCCAGGACCGCCTGGCACCCCGACGCTTGTCATTCCACAGAACCTGGGGCCAAGGCCCAACATCTTTCTGGCACTGCCACGCATGATGTCGCCCCCCTCGTTTGCCATAGTCCCGGGACAGCCACTGACGCTGCAACAGCTGCAGGCCATGCTGCCCACGCAGACCATGCTGGCCCAGCCCACACTGGGTGCGTTCGAGACAGACCAGCACCAATCCTTGGTGCAGATACCGACGTTCACCCAGCCGCAGATACTGGCGCATGCCCACCATCACCACCACCACCACCACCATCATGGTGCCCTGTCGGGACCTCTAATCTCAACAGGCGGCAGTATAGTGTCCTCTGCACCCAGCGCCAACATTGTCACCCACCATCCTGTCATGACCTCGCGACACACAGTCCACTCTCGGCCTTTCCGACCAGGTCACCGTGAGACCCGCTTGTCGGCTGCCACAGCGACCCGGCACTTCCTCCTGCGTCCTCTGCGCAACTCCCAGAGTTGCCCACCAGAGACACACTGCTTACCGATGGCCTATAAACGTTGACAACCTGGACTTGCCAAATGAACACTTTATGGACTGCCCTTCATGTACATAGCATTTGTCGCCCTCTTTCTTTTTTTCATATGCGTTCAAATCGCGCAAAGCGCTAGGGGGGGAGCCCTGTAGTGCCATCATCACCATCATCATTTTTTTCCATCACCGCGCCGCGTCTCTCGCGCAGCTGGCGCGAGCTCGAGCTGCGCGAGAATTAGAACGAGCTGACACGCCTGGCGTGGCGGACGCTGGTAGCCGACGTGGCTCCGCTTCAGGCCTGCAATAAAGTGGCGAGATCAGCACGGCCCCATCGGCCGCCTTCGACGTCATCTCACGTCTCTCCTTCTCTCGCCGCTACAAAAGCATCAGCAACGGGAGTGCTATGTGGAAGAGCTTATTTTGTTCTCTTTGGCAGTGAGATTGGGGGGGGGTGTGGACAAAATGTAGTCTTATTCGTGCTGTTTGAGAGACTTCACTGTGAAAAATTTCCCACTTAAATGTCAATAGCACAGCACCGGCATAAGTCTACACTGAAACTACAGAACGTGGTTTTGTTTGCAAGACACATTTTCATGGCCATGACGAACAACTTCTGTTTGTTATGTTTTGCTCTTTTTGTGCAGACCTGCACAATATGTTTCGAAGCGTGGACAGCTTCAGGCACTCACCGACTGGCAGCTCTGAAGTGTGGACATCTTTACGGGCTCAGGTTAGTATTGTGTGTGTACTGTATTACGTGGAACACAAACTGCATGCTGTGAAAAATGCTAAAACTTTGCATCTGCCTTATAAGGCAGGCTGTAACTAGTTTCGGTAAGTGCTTCACTGAGTCTACTTCTTAATTTTATGCATAATAAGTACTTTAGATTTGGCAAAGATTGAGAATAAAAAGTTGATTGAGAATAAAAAAAAAAATGCAGACAGTACATGGTTAGATGAAATGCTCCTGACTTGAAGCAAGGTGCCTCACATCCTTCTATTTTTCAATTCTTTCTCATACTGCTCTTGTTTTGACACTTTTGCATGCTAAGCGATGACTTCAGGCAGCAAATTGTGTGAAATGAATTTTACTTGCTAAGCTGATAGAAGATGCATGAGAAAAAGCGTTGGTCCATGCCTGTAAATTCTCACCATCTCCAAAGTTTGGGAATGGAATTATAAACGAGGTATTCAAACTTTCAAATCTCCTGCTCTCCTTGCTTAAGACGTTCGTTAAGTTTTACACTAGTCTAATTTATTATGTATTGTTCCCATCATTCTCATACCTCGTCGTGGCAGACATGGACAAGTGTCCCATCCATGTGTCCACAGCATCACATTTACCTCTTCATTTTTTCCTGATGCAGCATCAGACTGGAAGAGTCTTTCCCACAACATTGCAGCTATCACTATTCCGTCAAATTTCTTGGACAGTGTAACAAATTGTCTCTTTGTCATCACCTGGCTCTACTGTAATCCTACCCGTTACGTAATACCCCCTGGCACAATACATGGCACAATACTGAACAGACAATTGTTGGCACCAGAACATAGTACAGCACGAGCGTTATTTTACTATCCCCTTTAGCGGCAGTGTGTACAATTGTACACATCAATTTAGAGGTACGCCACTTACAGTGTGTTTGTTCAAATGGCTTGGAACGTGGTGTGCACATTCGTGCAGGCATCCTGAGTGAACAAATACCGGTCATTTAGCTTCTTTGCACTGTGTAATGCTGCGGAGCATTACTTTGCTAGCAGCACTGCCATGTTCGACAACCACGTGACGTGCCGTATTCCAGAAACGTCAAACGTTTTTTTTTTTTTACTTGAAATGAATGCAACCAAAAAGTAAATTGTGCTTGCACTTGGGCCTTATATATCATTCTTTTGTGCAAAGATTGATGCTAACTGATTAAACAATATTTAGATACTTAATTACATGCTAATTAACATGAAATGCTAAAACTTGTGCAAAACAAAACATTTCTTCATATTCTTTCTTGGAATTTAATACTGAGTGCATTGGAATCATGCCATGCAAATTCGACACATTTGCAGACAGCGGATCATAATTTGCACCCAAAGGGGTGATGTATGTATTCTGTGTTGAGGCCTGAGTACACTAGTGGAAAGAATTCATGGGGCGGGTGACAGCGGCAAAATGGGAGCCTTCAAAGCTGCTGCACGGCAGCATTTTCGTGCTGCTAAAGGAATGGGTTTGTGCAACCTATTTTGTGGTGCGTCGCTTTCTGAAAAGACCAATCAGTGGCTCCCTTGTCACTTCTGTGGTGTATGTGCTTGGCATAGTGGGTCGACCCGGCCAGACCCTGGTCGAAGGAGGTTCTATTAGTGCTGGTTTCATTTTCTCAGGTTTTGGGGGCCAAGGTAATCCCCTCCAGGCTGTTTGAAATGTGCTTGACCACTCAAATATGCTCCTTTTGGCAAGCAACATCAGCCTTCGTACCCGTGCGACAATCCAAAAAGAGGAGCTAGCCGCAGCTATTGTGGCTGTACCGACTCAGCAGCATTTCTCTGCCAGCAACGTTCCGAGTGTTCTTTCGCTAGTGTGTTTTATGCCTTGAGCGTTCTATTACGTCATGTGCAGTTAACTTCTGCAATAGTGTTTCGTTTGTCCTCTTTTTTGTTGTGGTGTAACATACTGCATTACTGTATGGTATGCATTTTATGGTAAAATACGAATGATTACTTCTCTTTTTTACTTCCAGCTGCATTGAAAAATGGGTCCAAGGCCTGCGTTCCAAGTGCCCCCAGTGCAATGCACCAGCGAAGAGAATTGACATCCGCCCCATCTTTGCCCAAAAGCTGATGGTGAGTGTTGCTCTTTGTATTGGCATATGCTCGTCGTCATGTCAGATTTTGGCTTTGTGAACTCTGTGCCGACTTGCAATATAGCTCTCACCTAGATGACTCACTGTCTTTGGTGTCATGCGGCTGAGTGTGAAGACGAGAAATTGGCCCAGAAACAGCGGCCAGATTTTGAATATGCCGTACTGACAAATATGGTTATTGGTAGAGGAAGGATGAGGAAGGCGGTTGTTGTGGTTGATGCTCGTGGTTGATGCTCGTGGTTGATGATCCTGGCTCTGCTTAAGCCACTGACACAGAAACCGTAGCACAGCTAGGACACACAGGAAGAAACAGACGAGTAGAGGCACTCACTAAGAACCGATTTTATTGAAGGCAGGTTCACACCTTTATACATCAACAAGCTTTGCAGGCACAAGGTCACAACAACTAATTAAACATAAAAAAGAATGACAGCTGTCTTGTTGTCATATAGAACGGTTGCCTAACCTAGACTGCGAAACATATTCTATCAATTGGTGGGCGTTCAGAGTAGAGTCTAAGAACAGAGTTCCAGGGCAAGGAAACCAGCACCCTCTAGAATTAAAGTGTAGCTTAAAAAAATTCCTTTCTCTTATCTCTAGGTAAATGGTTGAAATGCGAAATACTCATGCGATAAGAAGCCCCAATGGATGGAGTCAAATTCATACCCCTGTCACACGGACACCCGCAAACACCGTTTAACTCCCTCGTCTTTACGACAAGAGAGATAGAGTCCGGGTCACACGGCCACTCTTACGCAAACAAAGGTAAACAGAGCATTTCGCTTGAAGCGTTCGACGATCTCCCTTTGCAGCGGAACGAGGTACTCTCGTTTCCAGTATCTGCAGGTAAGAAAAAATTTCGAGTACCAAATTTCCACAGTTAGTACAATAATACGTTTTGGCAGTATTAAATGTTATATTGTTGCAGTACTCATTCATAACGTCTTTTTTTACATACATACACGCTCACCGGAGTGCAGCTACTCTCCACACCAATGCCCTCCAGACCATGCCTCGCGAGTCAGGCCGGGTACCGCTATTAAAAAAAAATATTTCGTTCGTGCGTGCGGTTGTTCTCGTCGCCGTGTTTGCGTTTGCCCGTGAGAGGAATGAATGGCAGCGCTGCGTCATCGTCAGCTGCTTCGACAGCTGCAGGAATGGTTATGGGACCCGACCTAATTCAAGGGAAACTTGGAGTGCGCTCCCGATGAAAGAAAACGCAAGAAATTTCGTACACATTGCAGCCCGTGTCTTATCAGGTTGTGCTCCACTGCCCTCTTCGCTCGACCGCTTGCTCGTAAGCCCGCCCAGCTAAAACTCTCTAAATAACAACTAGTCGTCAAGCACGGCACAATTGTAAACAAACATAGCGTTGGGCACAAGGTGGCCAGCATCGCTACCAACATCGTTACAGTTAGCTAGTACGTTTTCATTTAAAATAATTTTAATGTTTTGTTCACTTCATATCTACTAAATATTGTGGTTTTGTAAAAACGATGTAACAAAAATTCACAAAAAGTAGCAACTAGAGATGAAACAATGATACTTCTCCGAAAATCAAACAGCGTCGGCTGAGCCCTCTCGCGGCAACTATTATAACCTTGTCATTGCCGTGTGACATTCCCACAACACCATCTCCATCGAACTCTTTGGGGGAGATTTAGGTTGACGGAGTTTAACGGAGTTTGGTGATGGCCGTGTGACAGGGGTATCAGTCTGCTTACTAAATCATTCCTCACGGCCTATGAGCCACTTTGAGATTTTACCACTCGAACTTGTTGGGACTTAACAGACGGCATTCCTGTTAGTGAATAACAGATGGCATACGTGTTCATTTTCTATGAAATGAGCCCTTGTTATGTATTGGACGTGCATGCCTGTCACTTGCACTCTCACTGAAAGCACATGAAGCCTTCTGTTATTAAATAAATTTTGGTCATTCTTTCCCCATGCAGTGTTTCATGCTTTGCAGATAAAATTGCTGCAAGGTGACCTATTCTCCATGCTCTTGTGCTTGCAGTTAGAATGGTTAGAATATATTCTGCTAATTGGAGTACTATTGCTTTTCGTAATTGAGTGTCTTGATTTTCCTTTGCAGTTGCATTTCTTTCTTCATGTTGATGTTTGCCAGCCATCTTGGTGGTGCAATTCTTGCATGGATGTTCCCCTCAGAGGAGTCTAGATGGCATGTTGAGTCTCAACAGTGTCTCTATTGCAGGTAGTTTGTCAGAAGGGAACGAAAAGTGGGGGTGGGGGGTGGGGTTTGACTGGAACAAAGTCGAAACCAGATTGTTATCTCTTATTTAGCTTTGGAGCGAAACTGAAAGATTTTCGTTCATCGGTTCTTGGTTATGGGAAAAGCAGGCGATTCGGAACAACCGAGGTGATGCAGCACGGATATAATGCATATCTCATGGGACAGTGTTAGCACTTATCTTGGGCGGGGTGGGAGGTCCTGAAAGTATCGATGTGTTGAAATTTTGTGAAAAATGAAAACCTTGGCAAACGAAGCCTTTTATGTTGATGCAAGTTCCCCTTGATGTGTCAGTGATATGTGTGAAGGGAGCATTTGTGCTGAAGTTTGTTCTATCGGAACAGTTGGTATCACATATCGCTTGACGCCCCAACGCGGTGGTCTAGTGGCTAAGGTACTCTGCTGCTGACCTGCAGGCGGGATCAATCAAATCACGGCTGCGGCGGCTGCATTTCCGATAGTGGCGAAATCGCTGTAGGCCCGTGTATTTGGGTGCACGTTGGAGAACCCCAGGTGGCCGAAATTTTCGGAGCCCTCCACTATGGCATTTCTCACAATCATATGGTGGTTTCGGGACGTTAAACTCGACATATCAGTCAATCAGTCAACATATCACTCGACAGCATGCTGCTTCTGAGATCATGGTTGTTCCCTGGATGCAAAGCACTGAGCCTGCTCTGAGAACTTGTTATTCGCTTATGAGAACATGAAATGCTATGTTTTTAGCTGCGAAGCAGTTTATGGTGGAGTTCAATGTAGTGTGCGGCGTGACCACCCTTACGGCACGTGTGTCAACTATTTCCCCCTCTCTTCGCGCCCACCAAGAGGTGGTAGAGCACCGCCTCCACTTCGTTTCTACTCTCTTGTCTATCACTCCGCCACATCTGTGCACTCATATATAATGCTATGCTTGCTTGCTCCATCGCACTCTCCAGCAGCGTATTCACTTTCCAACACCCACACGGTAATACACACATATACCGTAATTACTCGAATCTAACGCGCACCTTTTTTCCGGTTAGGCGAGTTCATAAATCGCAGGCACGTTAGAATCGAGTACGAACAAAAAATTTACGGTCAATCTATTGCCATCGGCAAATTCAAAATGGCCGCTCCCTACGTGCGTCGGCATGGCGCGTCGGCCATTTCTGCCTATGTGTTTCCCATGTGTGGCACTTCGTACGTGTGCTGAGGAGTTCGTCATCTAGTAGTGCATTAGCATCGACGGCGTGGAAGGGCCGACTCCAAAAACTCGAGTGCACCACGATGCCGCTTTTAAAAGAAAAGTCATCGCGTGTGCAGAAACGGACGGAAATCGGGCCGCATCGCGGTCGTTCGGAGTTCCCGAAACGTGCGTGCGGGACCGGCGGAAACAAAAAGCAGAAGATTGTCGACAGCAAAGCTTCACGCAAAGGCTTCAGTGGACCGCAGCAGGGTCGGTTTCCGCAAATTAAAGAGCTGCTCGGCGAGTATGTGCTTAAGCAGCGGGCGGCACAGCGGCCCGTGACGACAGAACTGCTCCAAGTGCGGGCTATGCAATTAGTCTTAGAAAAAGGTCTAATGCGGAGCCAGTTTAAAGCGAGCAGGTGCTGGCTAGCTAACTTTATGAAGAGGAAAAGCTTTTCCCTCCGAAGGGGAACATGCATATGCGAAAAGTTTTGCGGAGGAGTACGATGAAAAGCTTCACAGTTTTCAGAGGTTCGTCCTAAACTTGCGGCGCAACAACGGCTACCTGCTTGGGCAGATCGGGAATGCCGATCAGACGCCTCTTTACTTCGACATGCCTGGCACCACAACCGTCGAGAAGAAGTGGGCGAAGCAAGTTCGCGTGCTGACATCGGTCCACGTTAAAACTACAGTGACGGCAATGCTCTGTTACAGGTCAGATGGGCACAATCTTCGCCCGTACTTCATATTTAAATGGAAGACGCTCCCGAAAGGAGTCGTTTTTTCGAATGGTGTGATCGTGCGGGCCAGCAAAAAAAAAAATGGGTGCGCGTTGCAATCGATGTCTTACGTTTTTTTTTTTTTTTCGCTGTGGAAATCGGGTGCGCGCTACAATCGAGGGCGCGGTAGAATCGAGTAAATACGGTACATTAGTGGTACACAACATACTGTCGCCGACCGATTTTGCTGACCTGGTGAGGACTGTGAAATAGCCCAAAAAATTAAACAGTCCAAAAAAGTGGTCAGGACTTGACAATGAAGTTTATTCGGATTAGAAAAGCCTAAATAAATCTGCAATAACACCATGCTTCATACTGTTCTAGGGTACGAGCCAGTTTGGTTTTATTTGTGCTATGGTCACGTCGCTGGTAAGCGTGTTGGCAATCGCTGCCGCCAACCATTGCGGGCGGCAAAGTTGGTGGCTTTTCGGAAACAAGCTAGCACAACTGAATGCTGGTCGCGAAAAGGTGCATTCAAGTTCTAGCCTGTTTGGTGAGATTTAGCAACACAGCGTAGGCTCTTCTTACCTGCAACAACACCCCACAGTACGTTAGCCTCCAGCATGTTGCCACCATCAAAACGCTACCGCTGTGGCCGCGATCGAACCTGCATGTTCTTGGTCAGTAGCTGAGCATGATGACCACAGAGTGCTACTGAGCAACCGCGAACAGCAGCGAGCATGTGATGCGCACGACAGCTCAAACACACTTGGCACAACACTAACACGATCACGTGCGCAATGATGACCAGAAAACAAACGCCCAGAAAAGAAAGACAACCTATCGGCGTATTAATGGTGGTGATGAGGCTGACCGAAAAAGGAAAGTTTCGCCATTTTTCTAGCAAAAAAAAAATCAGACATGGCTTCCTAAACTGGAAGATTGTGCGCGCTTCTAATCTTGGAGGCCACCTAACTAGCCACTGCAAGCAAAACTTTACCCAACCAACAAAAAATCCAATATGGTGGCTTCTAAAATCGAGCGGAATAGCTCAAAACAGAGGATTTATTCCGTAAAATGGAACTTTAGAACACAAATTTGTTCGAATAATCCATTGCGAAAATGCACTGGTGCAATGGGAACCTTGACGGTGCAGTTGTGAACTTTGAATTTCTGGAGTCGGAAAAAATTCGTGGGTGACTGTAGACAGAACGCCACACACAAATGAAATAGTACTCAGAAATATGCAAACTGGAATATACAAATGGAAACGCAAGTGAACACCAGCGCTGCTTCGCATTCCCGCATAGTTCCCTTCAGTGGGAGATGTAATTTTATTGTTATTGTTACCTTCTTTAAATTTTTTTTGTTTTTAAACAATAACCATTGCAAACTCTTTGGAACATTTTTTTCTTTTTACGGAATGAAATAGAATGAAACTTTTTTCCGGTGGAATGAAAAAAAAAAAAACTGTGAAACGAAGAACACTTTGCTTTGACTCCCTGATCGCAGGCACTGGACACCACCCAACTAGACCATCTGGTGAGCGAGCTGAACGTAGAGCGGGAGAAGCGCAAACGCTCCGAGATCGACGCCGAGCTCATGCGCCAGAAGTACAAGTTGCTGCTAAACGACTACGAGAAGGTCAAGTCTGAGTACGCCAACGTCAAAAGAATGAGGTGCGACAGCAGCGTTTCCGTAGTGCTGTTATTTTTGCTGGAGTTTGTTGAAGCACTATTTCATTTAGCCTTCTCCAGCTCTCTGCTAGAGCGTTGAAGAAGTCTAGAAACAGCTCAATTTTTGCTTTTGTAAACTTGTTATGAGTAGCTGTGTCCACCACAGAAGTTATCTCGGCAAGGCTGTGGCTGTAATGGCAGTGTCTTCTAATGAGCAGCCTTCAGACAGCTCCTAAGCGAATCATGCATGCATCTGACGGTTGTAACTTTGATGTCCAAGATGTTGAGCGGCCTCTTATCTCTGTGGTCATACCTAGAAGCGACATGTTCAAGGTTGTGCCCTCGACAAGTGCCACCTCTGATGAGTGGAAATAGTTAATTAAGCTTGCATAGTGAGGCACTAATGGGACACAATAAGGTGCATTAAATTCAACTTATATCAGCATATTTCCCTTCTGGAAGTCATCAAAGCTCAGTCTTTTCACATAAGCTAAACTGCTTGGGTTTTGTTTACTTATCACTAAACCTCTCCGCAATGAGTTTTAATGAAACTTTTGAAAACAATTTTTCAGCAGTGTAAATTGTAGAATCATGTTTTAGTACTCCTCCTAAGAGCAACGTTTCCATAACTGCTCACAGGCTCGAGTCTCCCATGACAAGTCATGGCGACTTCAGCGCTGGGAGCAGTTTTTCGCAGCGGTCTCCGGGCAGGTTCACGCTGGACCGTGCTATCGACCTCGGCCTCAACACCTCATGTCGGAGTTTGGCCGTCTCGGGGTTGCTCAATTTGCTGGTGGCATCGCAGAGCAAGAGTGGACTTTTCAGCGGATACGGTCTCCGCAAGGTAGGCAGATGCACTGTCCTCTTCCTTTCTGAACCGCCAGGTTGTCATGTAGACGGCCACAGGTGTTGCGCCGTGAAGAACAAGAGAGTTCCTTCTATTTCCGGCCAAAGCATCTGCATTTCATGGGGGTGGAACTCTAGGACATCCACATACGGTACATGTCATTGAGAACCTCAGGTAGTTGGAATCGATCTTGGTGGATTGTGGAACGGTAGGTGCTGCGGCAATGCATAAACTGTTCCATATTGGCTGCACAGTGGTAAATTGTGGAGCATGTAATAACTGAAAGCGAGTGTAGGTTAGAATTCAATTCTGTGGTTTCAGGGTAACACTGCCCGTTCCAAAGCGGTATTCGATCATTACTAAAAGCATTGAGTAGAGTTTTCCCCTAGAGCAGATTTTCCCTAGAGCAAACGTCGTAGTGGAGGGCTCTGAAATTTCAGCCAGTCAGAGTTCTTTAAACGTGCACCCAAATCTGAGCACACAAGCCCACAGCGTTTTCGCCTCCATCGGAAAGTGCAGCCGCCGCAGCTGGGGTCTTTGCCCTGAAGTGGGTGTAGGTTTAGGCTGATAATGATGATCTGCTTCAATTTGTCACTGCCGCTTTTCGTTCGAAACGGCCCCTTCTTTTTGTATCCTCTTTTGCCAGGTTTCTCTCTTCGACCTGAAGTCGTCAGAGTTAATCTTGATCCACAAAGGTGAAATCAAGGACATTGCATTCCACCAGCGTGATGCGCTCGTGCTCTCAGCCTCCAATGACAAGACAGTCAAGCTCACTACCACGTTGAGCAACAGCGTTGTCCAGACGTGAGTACGAGTAACTTAAGCAAGCCTTTCAATTGGGGAATGTTGTTGGCTTGTCTTCTTAGACCCGTGTTTCCAAACATGATGAGTTAAAGGGAAGGAGGTGGCTTGAAGTCGAGTGGTTGGACCAGGGCTGTTCTGAGATAAAGTGAACGTTTCAATGACAAAGCTTGTCTTTGCAGAGGCACCTAGCAACCTTGCCTAGTGTCACTTTGAGTGATTGTGTTTTACTGCTACAGTTGAATCCTTTTATGAGAGGCACTGATGTATTACAGACAATAGGGTATAACAGACACCAGGGTGTTTATATCGAAATTGTGGTTGATGGGAAATAGAGGACGTGGGACTGTTCTATAAGAGGTCCCTGATATAAGGAAATGAAACTGTCCCTCAGTGCATGTCTGTTACGTCTCTTAATGAAGTGAATACTGAAGACCTCTTACACAAACTGCTACTTGCGAATGCTTCGTTGAGACGAAAGCCTCGGTCAAGAAAACCGCATTCGTCTCTCGCTTTGTCTCGTGGCCAACACTCGTAATCACAAAGTAAATCAAAATCACATCACGGTCATTGTCAATAGCTCTGTCTGCATTGCAGTTACCACCAGCCCGTGGAAGCCTGGAGCTGTGCTTGGGACAAGGATGACACCAACTGCTTCTACGCGGGCCTCCGCAACGGCTTGGTGGTGAAGTACGACATGCGGGTGACATCCGAGCCTGTCTGCAAGCTGCCCTCGACCAATCGATACGAGCCCGTGGTGGCCATGCAACACATTCCGAAGGGGCCATCCTGTGCCGAAGACAGGTGATGTAGCTTAACTCGTTTAGTCTCGAGCACTGTGTTGGAATGAAATGTTTCTCATTTCGATTTCTGTTTCATTCCACTGAAAGAAGTTTCCGTTCCATTTCTGTTCGTCACCCTTCCACTTCCTGCTTTCCCTCTTACCTTCGCTTCCCTTTCTCATTCTTTGCCATGCTATACCATACACAGCTATGCTTGCTGTCTAATTTGTTTGTTTCTTTCTGTCTCTTTCTTCCTCTGTAATTGTTTCTCTGTCTCTCTATCTCTTTCACTCTCCTTTTTCTTTATCTGTCTATCCTTTTCTTTCCTTTCTTTCTCTACTTTTCTCTTTCTCTATCTCCCTACCCATTTTTTTGCCCATCAGTGTTATTGTCATCCCATGCTGGACAAACTAGCGCACGTGTTCGGAATGTGAAGCAGAAGATGAGAAAAAGGATGAGAAGAGCATGTGCTAGTTCGTCGTGATGACAGCTTTCTAGTGTCATCACACGGAATAAAGAAAAAGCTTAACGGCTTTCCTGTGGAATTTGAAATTAGAGTAACATTAAGAACATGGTAATGTCGAGCCCACATATAACGGCCCATTTAAAACGAACTTTCGTTTAAAACGAACAATATTCGCGTGACCGTGAAAATATACATTGGTTCAATGGCACAAAATCGCACTTACAACGAACGTCTCCTAGTGCCGCTGATCGGTTACAGCGAACGGAGTCAGCGGTCTGCTGACTTCCCAGGAAACCAATTTCGATTTTTTGGGCACCTCGCTGATGCCGATCAGGCATCAGCGAGGTGCCCATACATTTTTATTGTTAAACGACGACCCTGCCTCCGCGACCCCCTAGTTGCCGCTCTCCCTAAACCATGGAGGAAGGAAAGTTGTTTCCTTCCTCCATGCCCCGACTGCTTTTTGTTACGCACCCCTCCGTCTTTTGTCCCCCCGCTACTCTGAGCACCCCACATCGCCACACGAGGCCCCGTGTTTTCACACTGCCTCCAATCTTTCGCAGACCGGTCGGCCATCTGCCCTGTTCTTGATCGCTGCTACTGTTGTTGGCGTCGCCGGCCTGGAGTGACCAGACTATTTGCCAACATCGTCGGCCACCGACATTATCCGATAGTCTGCGTCTAGTGCACGCGCCTACGCTACCCCACCGACTCTGATAACTTGCGATTGGTTTCGTGTTTAGGACTTGTTCTCGCTCACTTCACACTCGGCTCAGCATGCCTTCCGCGCGCGTGCAGAAGCGTGAGAACGGCTGTTAATTTGCGCGGAACGAATCGCGAAATATTGAAGTTCGTCAGGACACGCAAACCCTCCACCGCAACAAAATCATTTTTTGACCATGGGCGTCGAGTCTTCGAACACTGCCACGCGCACTGATTCAGGCGGCCATGCTTTGACTTCTGCGCGCGCAGGCATTCTTTCCAAGTTTTTCTACGTGCGAGTTTCGCAGACCTTTCAAGCAAGCTATCTAGTTTGCCGCCTTCCCGTGTGTTTTGGTTTTCAAGGTCGCCCTCCCGCCGTATCCTCCCCTCTCTTTATCGCAACTCCTTGCCTTTCTCTCGCAAGTCTCCTCTCCTCTCTTTTTGAACACAACCCCTTCGCCCTTCTCCACCGCCCCGCGACGCCCACCACACTGGCTCGAATTAGTTTCGTTTTCTGACTGGAAACGGGCCCAGAGCCGTTCCACGCGTTCTGGCATGTGTGTCGCGCGTGCACGTCTTGCTTGCTCTTGGAGTGCGTGTGTGGTCATGATGGCCGACGGGAGGACTAGCACGCTTTTTTCTGCTGTTCAACGAAACGTCGAAAGTGTGACCGCTTGGCTTGAGTGTAATTCGCGCGTTAGGTGCCGCGTTGCGGAGCGCTTGCTCATAGCTGTTGACCACCTGGCAGCCAACTTTCCACTTCAGGCATCCCGGTATTCAGCTGTGGAGATGGTGAATATTTTGTGGGCGGCGGTGACGACTACATGCGCGCTAAACTGTTTTCGGGAGGCCGACTTCGTCGACGTCGGGCGCGATGCCTAGCCTGAAGCTTCCGAACTACGACGGCGATTTGTGGCAGCGCGTCGTTGACTCCGACCTGGGAGAGCGGGTGGGACATCTGTTGCGATGGTTTAATTACGGGGGATAATGATGCCGACACTGCAGAACCGTGCACGGATTGGGTCATTGTGAATGAAGTACGTGGCGACAGCGATTTCAAGGAATCGGATTGCGAGAACGACGAAACTTTGGAGCCAGTGCCTCATGCAGCTTATGCCTTGGCAAACGAGCACCCTGCCGTTTTAAATGAACTCGAGACCGCCCTTATCACTTCTGTTTTTCGAAACACATGCATCACGAACTTTTTGGGGCAAAAGAAGTTTGTGTTTTCACTCGAAACTTTTTTAAAAAGCTGTATTTCATTTACTACGAACTTCGGGAAACAGCGAACGGATGCCGCGTCACGCTCTTGTTCGTTATAAGTGGGCTCGACTGTATTTATTTTTCCTCTAAGTGAAGGGGTATGACAGCTGTGCCAATTGCGCCAGTTTGATAAAGTTCCCTTTTTTTGGGTCAAGCTGAGCAAAGACAGTGAAATTTTTCGAAGTTGTCCACGCCTTGCCAAAATACCTCGCTAGCCTTAAAATTTTCTCAATTCTGCTAAATGGGGCGAGAAGCGGGAAGCCATGTTGGCCATCTGCAGTTTCGTCATCTTCACCGATTAAATACATACATGCAGATCCTAACCCTAATACTCTCCTCACTGTGAAAAAAATAACTAAATAAAAATAAGAGGCAGCATTTCGAAAATTTTCTGGCTTTTTAAGTCACTTTCATTGCAGTACACCAGTTTCTTGTGGTAAAATAAACTAAGATTTAGAACGGACTGTTGGTGCTACTTGTCATGGGACACAGCATATGTTGTTAGTTATGTGTGCATGCTGTGTGTAATTACAAGTATTAGAATAATGGTTAACATCTAAATAAATTACTGGCAATCATTTATAGATGTGTGTAATTCTTTTGTGACCCTGAGAAACTATGAACAAACATGTACGTTGGTTTTCTTTTATTTGCCACCTCTGCTTATTCCTGCCTTATGAATATCCTGGATTTCAAGCTCGGCAGGTTGGCAGGTCTGCATTAGCGTTAGCAGCGGCGCCTGCCAAGTCATTCGACAGGCTCCGCTAAAGCTAATCTAGACATTGTCAATCTTTGCATTTGGGTGGGGGGGAGGGGGGGTCAGAGGCACTGTTTCTATTGAAATAGCAGTGCTCACATGCACTGTGCACAAGTTAGGGAAGTTCAGTTGTTTGTAGATCTTTTTGTTTTCTTTAAAATTGTGATTTCTCTGTTACACTACTCTAAATTTGGATTTTTGGGCTCCAAAAAGCAACATTTTGCTGCTCCGCAAATTGCTACAAACCCTGTTTTGGCTGTTGCAACCCTGTAAGTGAATGGCGAGTCATCTTAGCATGCTGAATGCTGTGCATCGAGGGAGTGATTCCGGATGCATGATTCCGGATGCAGCACATCATCGAGTGACAAGCGAGATCGCTGTTCTGATAAAACAAACTTCAGCGACAAGAATGCCTTCTTCACACTAGCCTGTGTGGCTGGCACGCCAAGGATCACCTACGTTAACATGTATATATACAGCCCTGGTTTCCGTCTGTTTTCGTTCTTCCTTTAACACACCTTTAAATTGGAATTCCTTCCTGAGATGTGCATTAGTCCTCACGTTGCGTGACTGTCGTTGTTTGTATTGCCAAACTCTCCCTTGAATGGAAAACTGATTAAAACTTTTTCGGTTTACCTCTGAAACGAAAATGAGGAATCAGTTTCGTTTTCGGTTTTTGTTTGGCTCTGATGCACTGTTTGTGCAAACTGTTGCTATGCTTTTAAAAAGCAGCTGTGAGCTTGTTTGTAGTTGTTAAGTAGGGCCTGTTTGCTCACGTTTTTAATGCAAGTAAGATTACAAATCATTGCGCAGCTACATCTTGACGTTAATACGACAGATGCAACTGCAAGCAAGAGTTGGGGGACCAAATAACTTGCAGGACACATATACATTGTTCATTCTAGGCTGGCAGCCTGATATGTACAGTAAAACCGCGTTAATTCGAACTCGGTTATTTTGAAATCTCGCTTAATTTGAAGTATTTCCACGGTCCCGTATTTTGCTGTGCAAGTTTGAGTGGATAATTTGAAGCGGCGGTCAGCACAAGTCGAATTAATTCGAAAATGTTGGGTACAGTGTGCCCATTCCAGATCCCGATTTCGCCGCAAATCCGCGGAAACGACGGATCTTAAGAGCCACTAGGCAATGTACTTTAGTGATACTAATGAGTGGTAGCTGAAGCACACCTGTCCTCTGCTTCCAGCACTGAAAAATAAAATTATATTACAAAAATAACGGATATCGTGATCAATTAAAATATGCGCTGTGGAAAACAAGACGTGCTTCACTGCAATTCATCAGTGACGTGTGGGCAGCGTGTCGCATGCTTCTCCCAACGTCAGTGCGTCACGATTTATCCATTCTTTCTGGGAATTTAAAGAAATCAATAAAAAACAGTCTGGAGAAATCCACGATGTATGCTGAACCTTCGAGTGCCGGTTGCTCCAGCAATTTGTGCACTTGCACTGCTGGCGGAGTTCTTGCCTGCAATGCCTACTTTGAAAACTCGGCTCGAAAGCTTCAATGGTGATGTTTTCCAGCCAAAACACAACGCGAATTTCGTCACACTGTCTATTAACAAATTCTTTATTTTACGAGAAAAAAAATGGGCGAATGGTGGCATCATGACGTGCTGATGCTGCGGCGAGCAAGGGGGACATGCTGCCCGCTTGTCACTACTGTGTTGCAGTGAAGATGTCTTGTTTTTCAGCAAGCGCAAATTTTGTTGGTCGTGTTTTTTTTTTTTTTTTTGAGACAGCAGTTAGGCTCGGAATTCTCCCTTGTTTGCAGCAAAATTGTGACAATGTATTACTGGAAAACATGACCCTTAGAGCCACAAACTAGCCGGCACAGCAGATGACCAGCCCTGATTAATTTGAATAATTTCAAGTTCCTTGCATTGCACATTTTGTATCTTCTGTTAATTCGAAAATCCACTTAATTCGAAGATTTCTCACGGTCCCAGTGACTTCGGATTAATGAGGTTTTGCTGTATTTGAGTGTACCGTGCAGCTGCGCAGCTATAATACATGTTGCATGGGATACCAAGTTAATTAAATACGTCTTTGGAGTATAGTTACAATGGGGGTTATTGGTTTCATTTTATCCTCCTTAAATGTATTCTACATGCATCTATAGCACGCAAGCCTCAATTGCTCTCAAGGAGGGAGAGACAGACTTATTCACGGAGAGGTCGGCTTGAGCGTTAGTATGCTCTATCTAGCCTGCTGCTCTGCCCTGGGGGAGGGGAATGGGGAATAAAAAAGTAATGGATGACTCTACACAGGGGGAGGGGAATTCAAAAAAGCAATGGATGAGGAAGGGGAGGTATGGAGGTGAGTGTGTACAGTCAAATCGCTCTCGAGGTTTGTTTGAAACAGTTACAGCAAATATTCATCTAGAATAGAAAGGGGGGTGCATGCAAACATGTATGCGGAAGTGTTTCGATTATATATGTGTCCTCGCCTCTAGCGTTCAAAGAAATTAGGCTACTGGATTATGAATATTAGGGCCATTCATTTCTCTTCAACAGGTGCCCGTCAGGCCTACTGGTCTCGCAGTTTCAGATGTGCTCCTTTTTTGAAAAGCAGACTGACACAAATTTTAAGGTGCACCCTCTTCACATGGAAGGTGAGTACTACACTCAAACCTCCTTATAACAAAGTTACGTATTAGATAAATATAAGTTTTTTATATCCGAAAATTCGTTGTACAGGTATATTTGTGACACTATGTCTATCGCAAGACTGGTCTTTATTTACTTCTTTATAACTCATATTTCGTTATATCTGGGTTTGTTGAATTGAGGTATGAGTGTAAAATAATGTCATTTCTATGTCATATTTCTGTACAAGTTCTATGCTTCTGACCGATTGTGCTCCATGGGACGTGCCATCAAAGGCTCGCTGCGAGTAAATTTTAGGCCGCATGACTAATTAAGTTTTGCATTATTTAGATGTTTATTGGTGTATCTAAATATTTTAGCATTTGAAACGAGTAGACCAGTTATAAAAATCTTGCAAAAATTTTGGTTTCAGGTTGCAAAAAGTTTTGTGGTTAGGGCGCCTTGGTTTGTGATTGTGTTTCATTATGTTGGTTAATTTTTCGAATGAATATCTGGCTGTGGCCATATTTTAAGCAGGTTTCTCATTGATTTAAAAGTAGCCCCTCTATAAAAGATCCAGCTGTTTTTCAGTACGGAAGGCTTATTAACATTCGCAGTAGTCCTGTCATGGTGCACATCGTTGCGATGCACCCAATCTTGCCATCATCACCAATAGTGTCGCTTCTATAGTGCAGACAATACATGCTGACAACACCACTCTTTGCTACCGTGGGACACCAATCCACCGCAGCAAGTTCAGTTGTTACGAGGTCCAGCTTTAGTACTTCTCACGGAAAGATGTTCAATCTTCATTGGTAGTGTTGTGTGTGGCCTTCATATTTTATAAAGCAACTGCAAGGAAGTTTCAGTGCTAATAAATTTACTATTACTAAGTGGTACGTACCACCAAGGCAATGTTGGCAAAGCAGCAGGGCTGATAATCGCACGTTAAGACTCTGAGACCAGTTGGGGAGGACATGGTGGTCTGATGGCGTGATATTCTTCGACAGCTCAACAATGATTAGTGTAATTGCTGTCTTTTGCTGTTTTCATTATATTAGTGGATGGAATGCATCAAACGAACTCTGTTCCTGAGCAGTTAACAGCTGTTGCAGTTAATGGCAGCTTTTGCTGTGTTTTCAGGCCTTGGTGACATTCCGTTCCAAGACGTTAACCAGATAGCTGTTGAACTTGATAATTGATCTGGTGCATCTTTCTGGTGTTGTGGTTGACCTGCATCTGTTTGCAACCTGTGTGTGGGTCCTTTGCCTTCACTCAATGGCCCTTTTTTGGCAACAGGGATGTACTCTTGTTGATGTCGCAGAACATACTTCATCACATTGGCATTAGCCAGCTTCCATTCTGGCGGTAGTCAACAGCTCTGGCCTCGTACATGCCGACGCGTTCATACATACATTACCGTTATTACTCGAATCTAACGCGCACCTTTTTTCCGGTTAAGCGAGTTCATAAATCGCATGCGCGTTAGAATCGAGTACGGAAAAAAAAAAAAGAATACGGTCATTCTATTGCCATCAGCACTTCCAAAATGGCCGCCCCCTACGGGCGTCGGCATGGCGCATCGGCCATTTCTGCCTATGTATTTCCCATGTGCGGCACTTCGTACATGTGCTTAGGTGTTCGTCATCTTGGTGTGCATTAGCATCGACAGCATGGTAGGGCCCACTCCAAAAACTCGACGAGTGCACCACAATGCCGCTTTTAAATGAAAAGTCATCGCGTGTGCCGAAACAGACGGAAATCGGGCCGCATCGCGGACGTTCGGAGTTCCCGAAACAATCGGAGTTCCCGAAACTGGCGGAAACAAAAGCAGAATATTGTCGACAGCAAAGATTCACGTAAAGGCTTCAGTGGACCATAGCAGGGTCGGTTTCCATAAATTGAAGAGCTGCTCGGCGAGTATGGGATTAAGCACTGAGCAGCACAGCGGCCCGTGACGACAGAACTGCTCCAAGTGCAGGCTATGCAGTTAACCTTAGAAAAAGGGCTAATGCGGAGCCAGTTTAAAGCGAGCAGGTGCTAGCTTACTAACCTTATGAAGAAGAAAGGTTTTTCCCTCTGTAGGCGAACGGGCATACGCCAAAAGTTGCCGAAGGAGTACGAAAAAAAGCTTCAGTTTTCAGAGGTTCGTCCTAAACTTGCGGCACAACAACGGCTCCCTGCTTGGGCAAATCGGGAATGCCCATCAGACGCCTCTTTACTTCGACATGCCTGGCACCACAACCGTCGAGAAGTAGGGGGCGAAGCAAGTTCGCGTGCTGACATCGGGCCACGGTAAAACAAGAGTGACGGCAATGCTCTGTTGCACGTCAGATAGGCACAAGCTTCCCCCGTACCTCATATTTAAACGGAAGACACTCCCGAAAGGAGTCTTTTTCCCGAGTGGTGTGATCGTGTGGGCCAACGAGAAAAATGGGTGCGCATTGCAATCGATGTCTTACTTTTTTTTTTTTCGTCGTGGAAACCCAGTGCGCGTACAATCGAGGGCGCGGTAAAATCGAGTAAATACGGTATTAGGGGAAGTGGTCGAGAACGTAGTTATTGTTTTTTGGCCGTTGTGTCGTCTCTTCACAGCAACACTACGTCCTGAGCTACTCCAAGTCTCTAATAAGCAACTTCATGAAAGTTTGCACGTCCCCCCAGCGCGGTGAATTCTTACATTGAACCTCAAATTTTGCCGCATTCATGTGAACTGGGCTCACAGCACAGCCCGAGCATTGGCTAGTTGGGCACAATCCTTGATCAGAGCAGCCCTCACCCCATTCCCTGCTATAGGCATGTTCTTTTCAGTTAGGCATTGTATTGTAAAGGGGATAATACTACAGAATCACTATTCTCTTGAAGCTTACTCGGATTACCAACTATGCCCTAGATTTAGCAGATAGATTGATGGATTGATTGACCTTTGTCTTCTTATTTAACAGGCAACTGCGTCTCTATCAGCTATGAACAAAATACAAGGCACCTACTGATGAGCTGCAGACCAAGTGCTAGGACACCCTACATGACGCACTCGGTGAGTGATCTTTTCCTTGTCTTGATTGCGATTTCTCATCTTTGAAAATTTTAAGATTCAACAATCTGAAGACAAAGTCAATAGTATTTCATATAGGTTTAACCCTTGTGCGTGCATCGGTTTTGCAATATCTTTCTCTTTTTTTTATTAACACAGAGCTTTTTCTGAATGCAGAAAAATGATCCTATAACATATTCTGAGCCACTCGTTAAACAGTTGCTTTTTTTTAATGCTGATTGGGTTTTTCTCGCTGTGTGGAAATAAGTGAAATTAGCCATAATTTTCAACCGTGAAATCTAAATGGCCGTCTCTTCTCCTTCGACTTGGGCAACGCCCTTTTCTGTGCAGATATGCAACCTGCTTTTCCCAATGGCGGAGGAAGGCAGCTGTAGCTTCAACGTTGTGCATGTCTTCAACGGAGGCCCCACTCAGGTACAGCTGTCGCGATCATGCATCTGCCTCGACCCTGACGACGCCGCCAACTTCTGGGCTGTAGCTGGAGATGAGTCGTACAAGCAGGTATGAAAAAAAGAACAATGTGCTTGGAATGATGATGAATCAAGGCTTTGTGCGTGACTCTTGGAAGCTACATTTAAAAAAAAAAGTTGGACCATAATTAGTGCTGTTTTTTCAAAATTAGACTAAAACCTCAATATGACAATCTCGAATATAACGAAATATTGGTTATAATGAAGTAATTGAAAAATAATGTTAGAAATATACCCTTATAATGAATTTTTGGATATAACAAACTTATTTTTGTGTGAGATGCAAGTTAGAATGAGGTTTGAGTGTGCATGTTTTTATTTATACTTCAAGAGGTAGTGTTCTCACGTGATAATGTCATGGTAGCTGGATGGTCAAGTGTAGCGATTGTTTTAGCCTTTTTCTACTACTGAATGTAGAAGATAGAAGTCAAAGCAGAGGTGGATACGAGAAGCTTTCCTTTAGATACGCCTGAAGTTAGGCACTGTGACATTGATGTTGCTGCTGCTTTGAATAACCTGTTCAACCTCTCTCGTTTCTCTGAAGGTCCATCGTAATAGAACTTTTTAAAGTGTAAAAGGTGTAGTTTCAGTTAGTTGATAATTCTGTGCACAAATTTAGTTGTCTGAACTACAAACTGAGCTAAGTTGCATTGACAAAAAAAATTTACTGTGCTTGCGTAGGTTATGGTGTGGGACGCTTCGTCGGGCAAGCGCATCCACCAGCTGCCAGTGACCAACCCCGTGCTAGACGTGTGCCCCGTCACGACGCCTCTCGGCTGGGGTCTGGCCGCGCTCGCCAAGAACACCCTCTCGCTTTACTCCTGGAAGCAGGATGCCAGCCACTGAGTGTCGTATGTTGGAAGAGCGGCATCAAACTCTCACTGAGCACCGTCAAAGTGCGACTCGTCTTACGGCGACGAACAAGTTGTTTCGGCTGTTGTGCCCCCATCATCATGACTGTAACATAAAGAAGGGGACTGCGAAATTGTGCACTCAGGAGTGCGTGAGAAAAGACTTCTCGTGGTTGCACGTTGTAATCCTAGCCATCGTATAGCACAACTGTTTGACTCACAGGTTCTCGTCGGATGACCAGTCGTCATTGGAGCGGTGAACCTGACTCGCTGTGCAAGAGGACTACAGCGTGAATCGCGTTATGCACTGGACTTAGGGTAACGTGTGATAAAGGCATCCTGGGCTGGGGTATTTCATTGGCAAGGTAAATGCTGTCAAGTGTTTTTGTTTCATCATCCCAGTGGTCCCCGAGCCGTGCATTGCCATGCTCTGGACCAGACTTGGTTGCTTGCAGCAAGCAAATTGGCAGAAAAACATCTGTGGACAGGTGCCGTTGTCCTAAGTTACGTGTGCTAACGATTGACTGTCTTGCCTTTCAGTACATTTGCATGTGTCGTATTTATTTCGGGGCATAACAGCTTTGACAACTGGATACTGCTTTCGTTTGCCTATGCATCTGCGTTAGGTTCCCTCTAAATCTTCGATTGAAAGCTGTTGTTGACGTGAGGCTTTTACATAGCCGTTAGGTGCGGTGACGCAGCTGTTAGATTCGGGCAGTACAGTACTATCTGGGAGCATCGTGTATGGTCCCCGAGTCGCTGGTCGTATTTCGCCAAACATTGAATCTGGCCACAGCGGTGTCATTGAAGTTTATGCATGTGTAATCAGCAAAGGCATGTCTTGAGTTTTGTTTGAAGCACAACTGTTTCCATATCACAGGATTTTATTTTAGTGTTAATAAGTCAACGTCTAGTGTGTTTCAAACCCTTGTGACCAGGTTCATACACAGCTTCTTGGACCACGTCACATTGAGTCGAAGGCACCTAGGCCTCTTGTGTGTGCCGAAAAATCCTCTTGTACAGGTTGTTTATTATTACCTCTTCAATATATTATACATCGCTGCCTTACGTACTTGGAGACATCCCGGAGCTGTTACTTGTGCCAAAAGATGAACAAGAAGGTTGTTGTGGGAAAGCTGCGATGGGCTGAGTGACATTGCAAGTGTAAAGGTGAACTCACCGCCGATTCGCACACTTGTGTTGTGAACGTGGATGGCTTTGTAGAAGTCACCTCGCACTAGCCTTTACAACTGCCACTCAACAGCTGTGATTTCTTCTTGAAACGTACTTAATATCGACTGTCGACAATCGGAAACCTTTATTCACACAGCTAAAAGGTTTAGGGCCGGTCTATATGAATATAAATTCTTAGCAGAGCTGAACATGTGCTGAAGGTGCAATTGTGCATTGTGGCTTGCATCACGTTTACCCTGTGCGAGTTCTATGTGCTCACAGGAAGCATAGCTGACTAACATTCCTTTCTTGACAGTCTAAAGTAATTTTATTTTACCGCTTTCTATTCAAGATGTACAGGTGATGTCGACTGAAGCTAGTGAATGTCGGTGTTGAGCAGTTTGGGTGTGACTGCATGTTCCTGTGAATGCTGTTTCTGCTCAACAATTTCACTGTTTCTATTTGTTCTCTTCAATGTGCAAGGTTATCAGCTTATTTGAGCATTGGGAGTCGCTTCAAACTAAGGTGTGCGTGTATTTTTTAGGTGAAGCCGGTTGTAATGGAATGGAATCCAGTGTGCTGCGTCGTGAATACGTAATATGATGGAGGGGAACTCTGCACTCTTGTGTTAATTTTTTCATTTATTTCTCTGTGTGTCTATTCCATCTTTAATCTTTTGCTTTAATATGCCGCACAGCGCGACTAACCAAAGTGGCACTACTCTCGTCTTAAGTGTGGGGGGAGGAGGGGGTTTGGGTGACACAACTTCTGGGTTGTTCTCGTTGGTGTCTGCGTCTGAGTGAGGTTTTAAAAAGTTGTACATAATATATAAATGGCGTGTCACCTCACCCGGGTCGATGGTCTCAGGGGGGAACAAAGCACGATGGTGCTTCAGCAGAGCGTTTAATGACCGTGCGTTACAAAACAAGTGTTTGAAGGCGTTGCTGTTTTGTGTACATATGCATACAGTAGTTTGCACGCACTCTGGGGTCAATCAATAAATGCTTTGTGCGTGAGTTCTTACGAAATGTTCTGCCGTACTTCTGGGAAATGATTGCCACACATTGACGTTTACTGTGATGACAATTGTTGAGTACATGTGAAGTTCATTGGCAACTGTCTAGTAACGCGTGGAAAGTGTTATTTCATTAATTTCTATGATAAATGATGACATTAAGTCTAGGTATCAGCATAAGTGAAAAGAACCAGTCAGTCAATTCATTTGTGTCCATTTCTGCACACCTTACATTTTCTTATGATAAGTCAGGTGCACGTTGAAAAACCTCAGCATGTCAAAATTTCTGGAGCCCTCTACTGTGGCGTCTCTCATAATCATATGGTGGTTTTGGAACGTTAAACTCCACATCTCGATCAATCAATCAATCTCATAAGTCCCAGTCATCTAGTTCACCTTTTTGTGTTGGGAATACTTGAAGATTGGTTGCACTGCTATTTGCAGCAGTAAATAAGTCTGACAAAGAGCTCTTATCTGGGCAACTATATTTGTGCATTACTGCCATGCAAATAAAATAAATCAACACATTTAAACCTAATGCACATTCTCTAACTGAGATAACTACTATCTTGAAAAATTGAACATTTCTTAGCTTGATATATTTTTCTACATGTCTTTCAGAAAAGGTTTGTTGCAAGATGACACCTTCTGCATTAAGTAAAAAACTATAGGTACAGTAGCGAAATCCTACTCTTGTCCATACTCAAATTTTTGCAGCGCTTTGCAACCTGCTACTTGACTTAGCATTATAGTGCTACACATGTTCAAGTGAGAGCTTGGACGGGTTTACTAATTGTGTCACTGTTGGTTTAATTGCAGCTGTTGACTTGCAGGCTGTTAGTAAACCCAAAATGCTGGTTCTTATGAGGGGAAGAATGAGTCAAGCACTGTTTATTGACCATTCAATAATCATTAAGAACAAATTTTATTTCGACTTTTCTATTGATTTCACCTTTAATCTCTACAACCATAGCAGGATGGCGAAGTAGCTTCGACACAATGTTCAACATGACAGATGTGACGCAACACATACACTGATGACGCCTAAGCACAAAGGGGCCTCAAAGAGGCCTCTAAATGATTATTGCAGAAGCATGCATCGAATGATTGATGGTAGCTTTGAGTTCTATCTACAGGACAGTCTTCTAAGGTGCAAGGAGCGGGTTTCATTATATATACATGATATTCAGGCTGCTTGCTTCCACGGTGACTGTTCACATGTGGGCTTATCTGGGCTTGTGCCAATTCCTTTGTTTCTTTCTAGTTCACTCTGTATGCTGTGGATAACGTTGTTGGTACTATACGAGGCCAACACGTGTGGCCCCCTCGTAGTGGAATTTGCGAGCGTGCGACTTTCGGTGCTCCCTTGTCAGGAGGGCCCCCTCCGTGGTTGCTTGTTGGAAGTGCAGCATCTCGGCAGCCGTCGGGTTTTGCAGCGGATGGCGACTGTTGGATGAAAATATAAAATTAATGAGCTGGTTATAGTTCTGCATACAAACTGGCTTACATTGGGGAAAGCATGTACTTATGAACTCATCGCTACATACATAAATTTATACTTGTAGGGCACGTTATGGCGTGATTTGTGATGTTATGTACCACAGCTTCTTGCGTGTCGTAGGAAGTGTGACGACGAGAAGCATTCATATGATCAGGATTTACCCGACTTTGATGGCGATGCATGTTCAATTCACTTGCTTTCGCGATATCAATGAACAGCTAGACACCTTAGTAATGGCCTTGCTATTGACTCACAACCAGAAAAGAAAGAGCATGAAATATAAACGGACACCAGTACAGTACCGCCTAACGTGTATTTCATGTAAGAAGATCACAAAAACTGTGTCGCAACTTTCACCATGGTGCAGAACTTCTAGCAGCTTACATTAGCGAGTGCAAACACGGTGATGTGTTTTTTTGCTGGGCTCTTTTCATAGACGACAGAACCATTGGAACAGAGCTGAGCTAAACTCAGAAGCAAACGAAGAACTTAATCAGATGAGCAGCATGAAGTATGTGCACTTCTTGGCCCAGTGCCCAGTAAATGTAGTGAAATGTAGCTTTGCTACAATTACTGCCATTGCCTGGCTGACCCTGTACGTTCGAAAGCAGTGCACTTAGTTACAAGCTAAAAATCAAAGGGCTGGACCACTTTGAGATGTGGTGGTGTGCCTCTTTAGAACATGTGTGCAAATAAATGTTTGAAAAGGGATCACCATTCACTAATACGGCTTGGGGTGCCTCAATGGTCCTCCTTGCTAGTAGCCATGTGGAGAGTGGCGTCATCTGTGCCATGCTGGTATCCACTTCTTGGCAGCAAATGGCTGGCACACGGTTATAAAGTGGTTTTGTGTACTGGGGCACACAACATCTTTTTTAAAGTGTGGATGCTAAGCCATTGTGCTAAGCTTGATTGAGATGTGAGTGCAGCGCACAAATGTTTATGGCACATTCATGTTGGATGTAGCTACAATGTATGTAGTACTAGACATCCTCAACGGATTATCGGTGGAGGAAAAGCATCGAGGCACCCCACTGTGGCTTCATCGGTAGTATGTCACCAAATGTTGTTCATTTTTGTCCTGCCTATCATGGGATGTTATTGCCTTCTTTCACTTTTACACTGAATGATCAGAACCAGAGTTAATACCGTCCTCTTATGGTAAAAGGTGACAATTTCTCTTTTTATTCATACGAAGCAAGTCACCCGTGGTGTCCTCGCTAGTTATACAAAAAGTCTGTAGCTTCACTCCTGTTCTTTCAGCAATGTTCATGTTCGTTGTACTCTTTACTACTGTGCATGCACAGTATAAAATGACGGACTTGAGCATGGATGTATGCTTCTTCATTTTCGAACAGTACAGCACTTGCTGCAAGTTGTCCTTGCGCTGGAATGAAGAACCAAAGTAACCTTCTCACACATTTAATAAAACGTAAGGAGACGTTTGTCTCGTATCCCTTTATTTGCAGATCCGAGGAATGCACAGTCTTGCTTGTTATTGGCAAATTTCTGGGGAGGGCACTGCTTTCGATGTTGAAAAAGCTTGGTACAGGCTTCTAGATTTTGTTGTGGGAGGTTTTAAGCATGTGTGGTGGCAGCTGTAACTATTCTAAAGGTCAATAACATCTTACCTGGTTGCCAGTCCAAGTGGTGCATTTACATCTGCAAAAGAGATTGAAGACATTCAGGTGTAAGTAAAGGCAATAATCAAATGAGTGAATGTTTCAAGAATAGCCAAGCTACGAGTAAGGCAGCCTTTTGGGTTGGTTGCTTTTCGCTTATAGATTGGTTGGGCAGGAAAAAACTGAAGGGCATTTGCACTTATTTGTTGCGAACTTATTTTGTTGCGTCGTCAGTGGTACATTGGGCATGCCCTTACGTTGCTGCGTGTGTCTTGTTATTGTACACACTACACGCACCTCTCTGTGTCCCTCATTTTCGGATGCTGTTCTTGGAAACAAGAATGTGGTGAAGCAAACTGAAAGCGTTGGCTTGTTGTAGCAGTTTAATGGGGTGTAAAGTAAGCATTTCTGTTGTGGAAGGCAGTAATATGTTTCACTGCAAAAGAGACAACACAGCTGCACACTTAAATTACATATAGTGTGGAGCAAGGGCCCTCATTTTCCAGGGCTGTGCTTACGGCTTTTACCTTAATATAACCCCACGTAAATGACATCGCAGTGTCTATTGTGCTGCCAGACAGTCCTTTTACACTTGCCCAGCTGAGTGGTAGTAAAAAAAATCAGTGTTCTTGTGGTTCTCGTGTTATTTATCGCCAAAGCAGACTACCACAAATACATAAGGTCGTTGCACTGAGATATATTTATATGCACCTTAAGGACGTAAAAATGTGAGTGAAAAGTAAACAATTGCAAAATGAATGCAGGCATTGAGGTGAGAATACAGTGGGCTAGATAAAAACCAATACAAAAACTAACAAAGCACAGTCAAAAGAATAAGCACGACGAGTTCATAATTATACGGAGTACAGCATGTAAATAGTATTATGAATGCGTGCATGATGCCACTTTAGTAGTAAGTTGGCAACCCTGGAATGGATGTGGGAATGTATAACAATCAGTTTTGGAGGGCCACATGGAAAGTTTTATGGTTACGTTGCACCATACGATATCTTTCTTGACGTGCATTCAAAAGGAAGCTCGTCTTGTCTCAGTTTGAAGTTAAGTGTTTCTCACTAGAGCAATGCAAAATCTTATGCAGGGCATAGAGTTTTACATATAAAATTCAAGGCTTATCTAAAGTCTAGTCTTGCATACCCTAGCATCAGAGACTGCCAAAATGCTGTTCAGGCCTCCTCAATGCTGTGTTTTTAAACCAAGCCACAATTTCTGCATTAATTTAAAGATCAACAAACAGTCTTATATTTACATCAGTTAGATTTCATATTTTGCAGGTTGATGAGCGAACATGAAATGGTTGTCGGAGAATATGCTGTCGATTCTCATGCTCGCCTAATTCCTCGTCTTATGCCTGCTTTTAGCCTTTATTTCATTATTTGCAAATGACCTCTATTTAATTTTTCTTTCACAATAAAGATATTAAATAACTTCATTTTTTGGTAGCAAAATGCATTCTGATACAATAGAATCATCTGGCTTTAATCAGCACTAGAAAAAACCGAAACAGTGTGTAAAGGTCCCCTTAAGGTTTGTGCCCTCTCACAGATGCATTCCTGCTAACAATGTTATGTTTTAATCATCTGGCAGTATTGTTGTGTAGCACAGGACCTAATAATATTTTTGTGTGCTGGGCTTCTATTCTATCGTCTTGTTTGTAACACACACATTGTGTGAGGATATATTTTAATAATTCAATTCAAGGTCAAATGTTAATGGCGATGGCGTTATCTGTTTGAAAGGATGTTCAGTCTTCCACTGATTCCATGCCTTCTCAATTGGGACAGTGAGAATTGGCAGGAATGCAAAGTTGTCCCGTAAATTACACTGTCGACCAGCACGGGAAATGTATACACTGGCAAGCTGTGCTAATGATCGCACATCAGAAAACCTTATCATGCGTTCCCCTCGTGCATGCTCTGCTGAATTGGTTGAGAGTTTTGTCAGCAAAGCGTTCTGATAATCTATACAGTCCATATCTGCATCTTCTTTTTGTGGTTGTTTGACAGTGATGTTTTGCTTGCATTTTGTTGCTAGCAATCAAACATGCAGCATTTTTACATTATAAAACTCATCTCAATAAATTGAAGTGGTCGAATGAAAATGTCATTAGTAGTAGTTCTGCACATCGTAATATTATCAGTCACACTGAATTGCATCACAAGTCATGATCAAGAACATAACATTAGCTAATTGGATACAAATTAGTGCTTAAATTGAGTATAAGCATGGTATTGATGGGTTGCTTAACTGAGCTGATGTAACTTATACTTGTCTGAATGTTTGTGAAAAGGATAAGCATGCATGTGGAACCAAATTGTGAGCTAAGCTCACAACTCTTGAATGTTATGTTTAGTATAATTAAACATTTATTAGGTGTAATCTGGCCAAGTCATGGGCATAGTAAAGGAGGACGATTATCTGGGAGCTGGTGGTGCAGTACACCACAGTACACCAGTGTACTGCGAACCGACTTTGTTAGCAAACGTCATAGGGGAAGACATCGTGGGCGGTGGGCATGGCACAACTGCCTGTGAATTGAAAGAAGTCCGGGAAAATTACTCAGCAGAAATAGATTTCATTAAACACTAGTGTGAAGAGATGACAAAGGGAACGTGTAGACAGTAGTTCGTTGAGTCTTGTGCAAGGAGGGGCCGCTGCTTGCTACCACTCGCATGTAACTATACTCACATGATTTCAAATCGGTGACCTCATTTTGAATATCCTACCCGGTGCATGGTCAATCAGCTCGACAATGTGCCACTTGTGGCTAGTCTTCAGAACTGTCCTGTTATGGCACCAACAATGTCGTGATTACAACACTGCCAACTTACAAATGTGTACATCTTTTGTCCACTGATCAGGTACTTTCTTTTTCAGGCACAGCATTGTGATACATTTTACTAAACAAATGCCCTGTATTTGTGTTTTAATTGCTCTTAATCCCTTGAAGAGAGACATAAAAAGTATTCGATCAATTCTTAATTACAAGCCAAGGGACATAAGTTATACTGGCTTGTGTACTTATTCAGTTTGTTGCAGAAAGCTAAATGAACACTAGAAGTAGTGTCGGGCCATAGTTCTAGGCTGCAGTTCTGAAAATGTCTCGTTAAGCAGATGTTTGGTGAGCAATACAGCAAAAAAAGAAAAGGTTGTAAAATAAGGGGTGGTAAAGAATTTCTGAGATGTCCACATTAGACATAGACAAGTTGTGACTGGGGCAGATCGTAGCGGTGTAATTTTTATTGAGAATGAACGAATTATGCACAATCATCAAAAGACTCAATTCTGTGCATGATATGAAGGTTGCAAAATTGCAGCCACAATAGGAATTATTATGTCCACATATTTTCAAATTATCATTTTCTATGCATGAGTCATTATTTGGCATCAAGTTGCGGCTTTGACATGCGAAGCCATAGTGCATGCAACCGTTTGTGGAACTTAGAAGTGTGGCAGTTTGGGCTAGTTGGTATGACATGACGATATTTATAGCACGAGAACAGAACGATGACAAAGAGACAAGAAGTACACTTCGACAGTTATAGCGCGAGAACAGAACGACGACAAAGAGACAAGAAGGGACGCGAAGTCCACGAAGTTTCCTTCGTGTTCTTCTTGTCTCTTTGTCATCGTTCTGTTCTAGTGCTATAACTATCGTCGTGAGTGGAAGCTGCACTAGCAACGAAGGTGTGCGTCTAGAAGGTGAAGCACTCATTGCGATGGCATTAATGCATAAAACAGCCACACGAAGGTTAGCCGTTCGTCTGGCCTAGATAAATTGAACTAAACAATGGTGCACTGTTATATTACGAACACAATGTCATGTGCGCACCGAAAAACCCGAACACATTTCGTTCGGGGGCCGCGCGTGAACACTGGCTGACGTGGTCGTTGCTGTAGCGATCGGTGTTGGAAGGCTTATCATTTTTCACTTTTGCTCCAGTATTCGGTTGCGCATCTTGCGCTGAGATAGCGATAACCTGCGCAATGCTGGTAAAACTGATAACGTGACGCGGCTACGAAGCCACGCGTTCGTCCGAGGAAAGCTCTGTCGACAGCGGGTGGTTTTCAAAAAAAAAAAAAAAAAAAAATGCCGTCGGCTGTCGTTTTGGCACGAAGCTCCGGAACGTGTTCGCGTAGTCTGTATTGTTTTGTGGCGGACTGTACTTCTGGAGCTCCTGCCTGTCATGCGACTTCCGGAAGTGCGCAAACGGAGGGACGTGACGTTTGTTTTCCGGCAGGTACGCAGTGCATGGCTTTCAAATATAGGACGCCAGATTGTTCCCTCGAGCGCTGCGGACTGGCAGGGATGGGGTCGGAAATAACACCGGGCCTCAGCAACGATGCACTTGAGCCCTCAGAGCGTGAGCAGTCAAGCTGGCGCCGAGAGATAGGCAGTTTTAGAATGTGGTACGCGGAGCTTTGCGCAAGATTTGTTGTCGCTGCGCGTGCGTCATACGCTATATGCCTTCTATGAGTATCGTGTGCCCAACACACAGACAGCTGGTTCTCTGCCATGGGTGCCTGAAGATGGCGGCCACCATGATTTTTTTTTTATCGCATTTGAGAGTGCCAGTGTACAATGTAGCCAGTGCAAGGGACAACAGAGTCATTCATCCCTCGCGTTCTTTTGTGCCCTCCCCGATTTCTTCTTTTTGCCAGCCGCGTCAAGGGAGCACCGGCACTAATCTGATGTCAGTGTTTCTTGCACCGCGCGATCGAGCAAGAGTTCACGGATTGATTGATTGATATGTGGGGTTTAACGTCCCAAAACCATTATATGATTATGAGAGACGCCGTAGTGGAGGGCTCCGGAAATTTAGACCACCTGGGGTTCTTTCACGTGCACCCAAATCTGAGCACACGGGCCTACAACATTTCCGCCTCCATCGGATATGCAGCCGCCGCAGCCGGGATTCCAACCCGCGCCCTGCGGGTCAGCAGCCGAGTACCTTAGCCACTAGACCACCGCGGCGGGGCAGAGTTCACGGAGCATCTCAACTATTTGGTACCTCAAGATGG